CCCACGGCCAGGATCGAAATCACGCGAACAGCCTTCGCCATGATCTTTCTGTGGACACTGGACCTGAGCTCTGAATGCCTCTGATCTCGAGCCTAAAAGCCAATGCGGCAATTGCCCCGAGCAGCAAGGCTGAATGCAGGTCCTTCTACTCATCTCCCAGCTGTCCGTGCTGCGAAGGGCCTGGATGAAAGGAACTGAAGACGATCGCCGGGCCGGGCCGCAAGCAGCGCTCACCAGCCTGGCGCGGGGTGGCACAGCTAGCAAAACTATCAAAACTGTATAGCGCCAGTATTAAGTCCCCCAGCTGATGATGGCAGGGATATGCGACTCACATAGGCAGGCCAACTTCACGATGGTCTCTGCAGGAACAAGGGAACACATCTACCATCTGGCTCCTAGATTGCGGCGGCCGCTTTCGGAGCAGCAAGATTCTCTGATGAAACCCATATTTTCTGATGAAAACATCGAGAAACCTTTATAGGCACCCGAAACTCAACATCCCCAAGCCGCCCAAGCAGCCTCAAAAGCTTCAACAGATCTCAAAAGCCTCTCAACAGCCCCAACATCCACAAAATAATTCTAACTGACCCGAGGAGTCCAATCCATCTCCTTGCCTTCGCAGAGGCTTGAAGGCCTCTCGCCTTGAGACGCCGCACCCGGAAGAGACCTGCTGGGTCTGAACTTTTTCTTTGAGGGGGTTTAGGGTTTAGGGTTTAGTCTTCTGGGTCTGTCTGGGCCTCCGGGGCTTCCGGCTGCCTTTTTTTGCTTCCTGGCGCGCCTCTGTCACATAGCCTTTCCGCCGCCAACTTTAAAGATGTCGCGCACGCGTCGCGGCTGACTGCCAGCCACGGGCAAGAGCTCGGTGGACCCCGTGGGCCCTTAAGAAAATATGCAACTTACAAAATCAAATCGGACTCTTTAAGTCGTCAAATCGGATGTGCGCCGCCGCGCTCACTCCTGCACGACTCGACACATTCCACGATCAGCTCCGATCACTGCATCGTGGACTTCACCACATCCTTGAACTCGAGGAAGGCACTGTAAGCAGCCTGTGCGTCTGCCGGGTTCACAGTGCCGATGAGGTACGCCGGGATTCCCTTGCCCGAGGCCACAGCTGCGGCCACGATGCCTGCCCAGGCGTTGTAGACGTCCAGCGTCTTGGCCTCTCCAGCCGAGGAGACCATGTGACCGATAGCTGCGTTGATGGCCTGGTAATCAGCTTTGGAGGTCAGTCCGTTGGCATCGATGCTGCCAATCGCCTTGGAGTGAGCCAGGACGCCGGCCTTCAAAGCAGATGGGTCCATAGCCGCGCCCATGTCAATGGTCTTGGCGATGGCCTTTGCCATCTGCAGGGGATCGGCTCCCGGGATGTTCTTCGCATAGTCCGCGGTCCAGTCGATCTCCTTCAGGAAGGGGTAGGAGGCGTCTGACAGCTTCTTGGCCGCATCGTCGATCTTGTCCGCGAAAGCAGGCGCTGCGCCGAGCATGCTCAGTGCCCCTGCGGCTGCGGGCGCCATGCTGCGAGCTGGGCGAGCAGGCGCCGGCACGAAGGCCGGGAGGCAGCAGAAGCAAACTCCCACGGCCAGGATCGAAATGACGCGCACAGCCTTCGCCATATCTTGCTGTCTGGTTGCCCTCAACCTGCTCTCTGAATGCCTCTAATCTCGAGCCTAGAAGCCAATGCGGCAATTGCCCTGAGCAGCAAGGCTGAATGTAGGCGCCCTTCTCCCCTGACTCATCTCCTAGCCCTCCGGGCTGCAAAGGGCCTGGACGAAAGGAAGTGAAGACAGTAGCAGCTTCGATGGACTGTTTAGTAGAAGATCTTAGGGCATCGGCTGCCAATGTTGTTTCACCGCTCATCATCCGTGTCAATGGCAGTCCCAACGAACCGCAAGTCCTTACCTTGACAGCTTGGCACTCGCGTGCAAAGCAGGCGCAGGGCTCTGTTTCTCCGTGTGTGTGTGTGTGTGGTTGGTTGGTTGGTTGGTTGGTTGGTTCGGATTCTTAGTAGTATACACATGGGTGGGCTTTGATTGAATAGGTTTCACATGTCGTGTCACAACGTGCTGAGAAACGCTACATTTTGCACCGATATTCAAACTTTGCCTTAGTTAGTTATTCAGGTTGGGCACATCTCCGTGTCTAAGTGGGCGGGGGGGACGTCCGAACTATGTTGCCTGCAACAGGATTTGGGTATCTTGGGGCTGCCAAAGAACAAGATGAAAACACTTAACCCTGAATCCTCATGCAAATTGCCCAGGATAGCCACAAGGCCCTTGTGCATGGGACCTTTAGCCGGGGCAGCGGATGCACAAACTAGCAAGCTCACATCAAGGGGTTTAGGCATAGGGTTTAGGCTTAGGGTTTATATGGCTTATAGGGCTTGTAAGGTTTAGGGTTTATAGGGTTTAGACTTGACTTAATCAATGTTTAAAAGGCTATTGCTTATACGTGTTTATACACTTCTCTGCCAGTGCAGGGGCCGGATTAGGGTTTATAGAGTTTAGGGACGTTTAGGGTTTAGGGTTCATAGGGTTTGAGGTGTAGAGTTTAGGAGGACGGACGAGACTAGAAAATGGAGCTGTTAAGCGGGTGGACTCTGCAATGCCCACAACTTCAAACTACGCAGGCCTGGATGCAAGTGGATACAGAACACACCCTCGACAATCAGCCCAAATTTGACTAGGGCTGCTAAACTTTCGACGCGGACGATTCAGCACCTTGCATTATTATAGAGGTATGGAGTATGGAAGCAAGCAAGTGACAGTAGGTGAACGTAGGTGCACTATGCAAAGCGGCACCAAACGCCCAGTACATCCTGTTCTTGTCACTGCCTGCTTTGCAGCATCGCACCCAAAAAAGCCTTACGCCCTACAGCCCATGAACAAGCACCAATGCCGAATACCTGAACCCCTAGACCCTAAACCCCAAGACTATAGACTAACCCCAGTCCCAAGCCATAAACCCCGATGGGCTCCGAGGGCCTACATGGATCTAAAGTCCAACAGCCCGGATCGCAGGAAATCCGAAATACTTTATCCTGCACCTATAACCCTACTTACCCAGAGGGTCCACATATACTACCATTATGGAATTAGGTCCCAAAAGACCATTCTTATTATGGTTTTGGGGACCTAATTCCATAATGGTAGTATATGTGGACCCTTGGGGTTATAACTACCCATGAACCTCCAAGTATGATCCCTTATAGACCCCTTATAGGACCCCTTATAGAGCCCTTATAGAACCCTCTTATAGATCCCTTAAAGGAGCCTTATAACTACCCATGAACCTCCAAGTAGAGACTTTTTTTCGGCAGGTGTAACGCTGGACTATTGGTTCGCCTCGTCTGGGTCCTGCGAGCTCCCTCCGGCCCTATGCGACTTGATGCTCTCGACTCGTGTAACGTAGTCATATAGATAGAGATAAGGATAAAGACAAAGATAAAACATATGTTATATATATATATATGATATATATATATATATATGCATTATATATATATATATATGCATTTTATATATATATATATA